CGAGATCCTAATTAATCTATAGTTTATGATTAACTTAAGTAATTACTCCCAAGGAGCAAGTTTTGGGTTTCTCTAAGTAAAAATTTAAGTGATGAAAAATACAATAAAATGGACTTAAACTAGAATGCAAAATTCTAGTTATATATGCAAGATGCAAATGTCTTGAAATCTATATAAAAATTAAATTAAACTAAATTGAATGCAAATGTAATTTTTGGGGAGATTTTTTAGAAGAAAAATTAAAATGATAAATAAAAAAATTAACCAAAAAGCAAAAAAAAACAAGTAAAATTAAAAAGTTTCTCTTTAGGTACAGTAGAGGGAACAACCTAAGATTCACATGGATTTAATTTTCATACCTTAAATCAATTAATTAGAGCAAAGAAATGTGATAAGAAGGTGGAATTAATAAATTGAATCACCTATTTGAAACAAAAGGAATCCTCAATTTCAAAAACCCTTAAGCTATTACAGTACTCATAACAATATAAGGTTGGTTAATTAAGCTTATTAAAACTGATAAAAATAATTTAAATTAATTCTGAAAATTATGCTTAAAATTATCCAATCAAACAACTAGATAATTTATCAACTAAATTAAACAATCAAGAGGCAAAAGAATCCAAATTTACAATTCAAACCACATTGATAATTAAATCCATAACGAAAACTCAATTATAAAGTTAATTAACAATACAAAGGTTCATAAATATAAATTTCAGCAAGTGTCTCAGCACAAATAAAATCCAAGTATCAGTACAATCCGAGCATAAAGATGACAATCTAAAATTAAATTGTCTCACAAAAATACAACTCAAAATTATTTAAAACTAAATAATTTCAAGTCCTTGAATTTAAAAAGATAAATAGAATATCACTCCCTTATGATCTTTAAGTGTTAGTTCAAGATTTAAGTCTCATCAATGCTCCTTCCAAGTTGTCTCCCTAGCAAGCTCAAGCTTTCATCAACATATTTCCTTCTCCAAGCTCCTTAGTGCAATTCATGGACATGTGACGTAATGAGTTAAAAAAAAATGACGTTGGGTGGATGATTGAGAACAATGGGCGTGACCGGAGGGATGGAACAATGGATATTTGATAAGCAAGTGATGGAATAGGCGTTGAAGATGAAAACCGTTGAGAGAGCTTTTCTTGATTGCGTCGAGAGTGAGCGTGACAGCATGACCATGGAATGAAGGAAGCATTTTAATGGGAAGAAAAAAAATTTTTTTTAATCCAAAACCTATTAATAATTAATTGATCTGTTTGATATTAACTGTTAGACTGTGTTTAAATTTCAAGAAATAATCTCATATCATTGGATTTCTTACAAGCTCTTTCTTAACTTACAAGAATTTAAGCGCATCCATTAATATAAACTATATCTAAATATAATATAATCTATATCAAAATTAACTATTAGATATGCACAAAAATTAGGCAAGAAATTACAAAACTTTTCAAAAATTAATCTTTCTAAATATATGAGACTTGTTTACAAAGAAAGAGGAAAATATTAATTCCAAGCTGGAAATCACAAAATATTAATATTTTTAATCCAAAATCTTAATTTTTATGAAAAATCCAAAAATAACCAATCAATCCAATAATACATAAAAATTTATTTAGACTCAAAATTATCATTTAAATTCTAAATTAATATAAGATAAAATATATAAAAATTGGGCTTATCACTCCGTTTAAACGAATTGCAGCTGAGCGGGCAAAGAAAAAGATTAAAAGAAAGAAAGATTTGCCGCTGAGGAGCAGGCCACATATGATGCTTATTGGGCAGTGAAGAACTTGGACCATCAAAAATAGTACGCAAACTCACTACCACATAAAAAAGTTTTCCACCCCAGTTAAAAACAAAAAGAAATAGAAAAAAAAGACGGTGACACGTTAAAAACCTTTTAACTCATCTATCCGGCATAAAAACTCTCCTTGCTATGTAATACAAGCTCAACTCCAGTTCTTAATATAAACATTAGTTAAGAAATTAGATTTAATTTTAAATATAAAATCTTAATCTATTTTGTCTCATATCCTTTTTCAAAATATTGCTATTGATTGTAGGTGGTTCTAACAGGGGATAATTCTAATTATCTAATACATATGATTGAATATAAATTTTAGGGAGACCAATACACATTTACGACAAATAACTAAATTAATTAATTTTCTTGATATTTTAAAATTAGTTATCTAACTCTTATATTAAGGGTCAAAATCAGTATTTTAAACTAGAATTTTAAAGTGCGTCTACATCAATTGGACGAGGAAGTGATTTTGTTTTACCAACGTAAATTTAGAACATACTATTACGTACACTCCTTTGTTACCCTTCCCATTCCAATATGATGAAAAGCTCTTCCCGACTAACGAACGTAAAAAATTTTGTATGCAGTAGTGACGGTTTTCACTTTTATAGGAAAGAATGTTAGCATTCTATGGATCAAGAAATTAATGCTGAACTGTTATGTTAACAAGGCAGGCTGAATATAGAAGCTCGGGTTTTTGTTTGGAGTGAAACATAACTTGATTCCATCTTCAACTGTGGAGTTGGATATCAACATAAGCTTAATGCTTGTTATTTATTGCGATAATGAAGTCCAACCCATCATTCATGCTAGATCAAAGCATCCCCAGCTTGATGAAGTGTCAAGTAATAAGCATATTTGTAGTAATGAAAGATCTTAACAAGTGGCAAAAAAAAAAAACCCCAAAGAAAGAACCTAACAGGTTAATATGTTTAATGATGACAACTCTTATTATAATGTACTCCTCCGGTCCTTAATGTTGGGAGAAATTCTTGTATGCTCCAAGAGTGCCACCTTACATGTGCTCTGATTAATTAAAATGTGACTCTTCGCCTAATTTTAATCCTACCTGTCCCTTCTAGTTTTTCCCCTCTATTTCCAGTTTTCAACCGTTGTTCTTTTCAGAATTTTACTTTCCTCCCACCTCCCTCTCTCTCTCTCTTCCCGATAAAAGAGACATAGTAACAGCTTTAACCTTGCACTCCCCTGGCCCTTTCTTCATCGAACCAAGTCCTCCAGATTTTCTTCTCAAGGTCCACCACTCTACCCCTAATCAGTTAATCTCCCGCTGATCCATTTCTACGTTAATACACCACTGTATCTTTTTTCTTTTTTTTTTCTTTTTTGGGGACCGGAACACAGTATCTTTTTTCTTAAATGTATCAACTTGAAGACTTGTAAAAATATAAAATATTGTATTTTTAATTCATCTTTACCTTTATGGGGTATTTGCTCTTGGCTCCATAAATATATATATATATATATATATATGTATATATATCTATATCCCTTTCAGCAGAAGACAAACTACTATGCAAGGCCCGAGGCTATATATACTCTCTCTAACTTTTTGAACTGAACCCTATCTCTTCCTCGTCACTATTGGTCAGAACATGGGAGAAAAGACAATACAACTCATCAAGACTCAGTCTCAAAGACACTGAAGCAGAACTAGCCGGTAACATGAAACACAATCAGAAGGAGCAGATCAGTTGAACCCTGAAGATCCAGGACCATATTCATCACAAGGCTGAGGCTGCGGCGGCCGAGGAATCACATTTTCATTAAACGTTTGACTTTGCTCCGGCGGCACCATAGAGTAACTGCTTGCAAAGAATTCATCACCCAGAAAGAACCTCAAGTTTTCGTCGAAAAGCAGACTCTCATCATCAGATGCCGCCGGCACCACCGTAGATTCATACGTGTGGTAATTATCACGCGGAGGAACCATAATGTTTTCATCAAATATTTGATTCTCACCAGCCGGTGGCACGACCGTCGAGGACTGATATGTATCGGAGTTATCCTGTGGGGGATTCCTAATGTTTTGGTCAATAAATTGATTCAAAGCCAGTTCTTCTGTCAAGGATCCACTTGTAAAGAAGTTATCATAAGCTGCAAACATCATGTCATCATCAAACATTATGCTCTGATTTTCTGGTGCCATTGACGAGGATACACATGCGTTGAAGTTGTCATTGTTGCTTAGCATCATATTATCCCCGAACATATGACTCTGATGAGTCCCCGCCGGCAGCATTGACGACGATTCGCCTATGGAGAAGTTGCCATGGCTGTTCAGTATCATGCTACCCTCAAACATATCGTCCCAAGTCTCTGCCGGCACCATTGACGACGATTCGCCGGTGGAGAAGTTGCCATGGCTGTTCAGTACCATGCTACCCTCAAACATATGAATCTGAGTCTCCACCGGCACCATTGATGACGATTCACCTGTGAAGGAGTCGCCATGGCTGTTCATTATCATGTTATAATCAGCCATATGATTCTGAAATATCATGTTATAATCAGCCATATGATTCTGAGTCCCTGCCGCCGCCACTAACGATGATTCGCCTGTGTAGAAGTTGTTACTGTGTTGTTCAGCATCATGTTGTCGTTAAGCATTTGATTTTGAGCCCCCGCCGGTGCCGACGATGATGATTTGGCTGGGTAAAAGTTACCACGGGGTGTAAGTATCATGCTATTATCAAACATATGATTCTGATTCCCCGCCGGCACCATCGAGGACGATTCTCCCGTGGAGACGTTGTCATGATTGTTCAGCATCATATTATCCGCAAAGATATGATTCTGAGTCACTGCCGGCATCACCGAGGATGACGATTCACCGGTGTAGAAGTTACTAGGCGGTGTAAGTATCACGTTACCTCCAAAATTCTGATTTCCACTGGGCCCACATGAAAGCTCGGAACTTCCTTGGAGCTCCGGATTATTCTGGGTCAATAACGCGGTAAAAGAACAAGTTGGGGAACTCAAATGTCGAATCCGGAGGCGATTCAGAGAACAGCCCAAGAAAGTTATAAAAGCTTGGAGGTTGAGAGAATATTTTACACAATTGCGTTCGTCGCTCCTTCATGATCTTTTGCTGAGCCTTAGAATGAGTTTGACATGGCGCAGCCATCCACGTTTCATTATGCATTTCTCTGCTTCTTTGCTTCAGTTCCTCTGCTCGCTTATCCTCGTACGCCAACTGTTCCATGATTTCCCTAATCTCAGGTTTCTGCTGATCCACCGTCGGCGACTCTTGTACCTCGCTATCACGGCGTCGACGGCGGGGCTGCCGAACGTGAACGGCTTGCCTCCCGGAGAGATCACCATGAGAGCCACTTCGGCGCCGGTGAGAGCACAGAGCTGGTCTGCCTTCTTAAAAAGGCCAGCTCTACGTTTTGTGAAGGTAACACTGCGCTTTTTGGCGTCATCCATCGGTTTGACTTCGATCTTTTGCTGGCCTTTCGTCTTCTTCGGTGGAATTGGGTCTGCCATGGTTAAGATTGAACCATACAAAGAAGAAAACTCAAAGATGATTATTGAAGAGCTGTTTTGAGAAGGCACACAGAACATTAGGATGATGGGATGGTTTATAAAGAATACAAAGAGCCATGGAAATAACTCATGTTATACGGTTACGAAGGTACTTTTTCGGAGTGACAAAGGATTCTAAGTGTGTAAACGTGTTCACCATGCAGAAAAGCAGAGCATTAATCCATTGTTAATGCCTTGATTGTGGTATTTGTGCCTGATTTTTCAGTTACTTTTATTAACATTTCTGCTGAGTATATGCACATTGTTTTGCTTACAGTAGTAAGTTGTTTTGTTTTCTAAGAGTTTTTACGATGTAGTTATTTGTTTCTAGCCAGATATTAAAAGCAAGGGGAGGGGTGTCCGCTGCACCCTCAAATGCCCTTGTTTCGAGCCGTTGATTGCATCCAGCGGCTTAAATTCTATGACGAGTACATTAATTGGTTGCCAAGGCATGAAATTATAGTGTGCGTACATGGAAAATCCTTGATGAGGATATTTAACTTGACTTACTTTACAAATCCAACGACAAATTGTTTATAGGGATTGATAGTCTTATTGAAACATAGATAATAGTCATGGTAATACCTAGTAAAACATTCTCATAGTATGGATATGAGAATTTTGATATCCTTGATTAACTTCTACTCCTTTAATCCTATTTATAGAGCAGGCAGAGAATATATTTTTTAATCTTATTTATAAGATACTAAGAAAATTTTTGTATGGATATATAATTTTATTCTTCATTTATTATTGTGTTGATTTTGTTTAGATAATGTATAATACATATTAAATAAGTAAAACATTCTCATCGCATGAATGAGAATTTAGGCATCTTCGATTAACTTCTATCTGCTGGGAAGGAGGTGGTGGAATTTGATAAAGGTGGATAGACGTTGCTCCATGTGTTCCTTCGATTTGTAATGAATATTCCAACAACTTAATTGGCAGCCAATGCAAGTGGGGGCTACATTAGTGAAAAATATATGCATATTTTAATTTCAACAATAAATGACAAGGATAAAGGATTCATTTCCTTTGTATTAATTAGCAACCTATAAAAGCAAGAGACGAGCTTTGTAAGAAAATCCTTAGCCTTTAATTTCACCAAATGAATTACCGAGATTCATCCTCTTTACCCCATAAATTCAAATTAATTCATCTACCACTTTCCATTTTTACATTAATGCACCATGTATCATATTTTTTCCCCTTAAATCAACTTGAAGACTTCTAAAAATATACGATATTGTCTTTAATTTTTTTCATTCATCTTTACCTTTATGAGTATTTGCTTTTGGCTCCATATATATATATATATATATATATATATATATATATCCATTTCAAAAGAAGACAAGCTATATGCAAGCCCCAGGCCATATATGCCCATTTACGTAATATGACATAACTATATGAAAAGAGTTTGTCTTAACTTCGTAAAACATTCTTATAAGTGATTTTAAATGTTATGCCACACAAGATCTCAATTGGTTGTGAAGATATGTCAAAATCGTAGTGTGTGTGAGGCCTTTTGATAAAAAAAAAAAAAAACAAAGGCCTATTTATTTTCTTGTTTTGAAACCAACCTTTTGTTTTTAAAAACAAAAAATAAAAAATTGTTTAGTTATTAATTTTTAATTAAGTGTCTATAAAAGAAACTCAAAGCAATTTTTACATATTTTATTATTTTCTTTTTTTTGGTCTTTCTCTACTTTCTTTTCCATAGTCTCATTTTTTTTTTATATTGTTTTTTAGTTATCCAACTCTCCATTCATCCATCATTATTATAGGATTCATGTAGAATAGCTTATAATAGCTTTTTAATGATAATTTATAGAATATGAGGTAAATACGTGAGAAGAATTTTGTTTTCACTGCTCTACAACACGGGGCCATAGTCTTTATTTTGTCTCCTACCTTCTATCAGTTCTGCAAGTTGATTTTGAAACATTATTCCAAACAAGTTTTTTTTGTTTAATGTAAATATTTTAGAACAATTATTGAAACATATTCTTTTTCAAATGAATTTAAAAAATAATTTTATATATAAAACTATTTAAAAATTGAAAAAAAAAAAGAAAACAGAAACAAACAAGAATAAAGTGATTCAGGACCCATTCTCTTTGAAGATTCTCTCAGAGCTTTTTGCCATTTCCACGTCAAAACATTTTTCTCCTGAAATTCCAACGGCTTGTCAGAATAATTCATCTCTATCTTTCTATTTTACCTACTGGATGCTTCGCTTGACTCTATATATCCATATATTTTTATGAGAAAATAAAATAATATATTTTTTATAATGATAGAAAATATTTTTCTCAGAGCTTTTTGCCATTTCCACGTCAAAACAGTTTCTCCTGAAATTCCAACGGCTTGTCAGAATAATTCATCTCTGTCTTTCTATTTTAACTACTGGATGCTTCGCTTGACTATATATCCATATATTTTATGAGAAAATAAAATAATATATTTTTTATAATGATAGAAAATATGATGATATTACCTCTAGTCTTTAATAAAGAACTCATTTGACTTTTATTTAAATTTTAAATATAAGACCCAGTTCACTTTGTTTCTCATGTTTATTTATTTTTTTTAAAGACAGTTTTGTAATAATGGTAGTTCTAGCCAATACCCTTGATTA